TCTAGTTTTTGTGATTGTTGACGATAGTATTTCGTTGTGTGTGGCAATTTTTTATAATCTGGAGTAACCCATATAAATTTGTAAGTATATTCATGCGACATTTAAAATTATATAATACTTTCTAATTTAAATTATAAATATATTTTTATCATAAGTTTCGATTTAGCATCTATATTGTATATGTATACATATGTGTGTATATTTATAATGAAAAAATAGATTATCTAAATATATTAATTATAAAATAATAAATTTATTTATCGAATAAATAAATTTATCCATTAAGTTCATCATATAATTTGACTCCGAAAATTATTACATTATATGGGAGGTAAGTCGTACTAATAATGAGTATTACTCAAATATAAATAATAATATAATTTTTTAAAATAATATTTTGAAACATAGTAATACAAACTTCAATCTCTTAAAAAATAGATATGAATTTTTTTTATTATTATCACTAGATTACTACGCGAATTATTATATTAGGTATAAATATTATGTAATACGAAAATTAAGGTGATCAATTATATTAGTTTAGATACAATGAGTGATTATGTAATGTTATTTCATTAAATAAAATTGAATAATGAAAAATATATTTATCATATAATATGTTTTTTATATTTGTCCATTTGAAAATTTCATAAAAAAAAAATATGAAATAGATGTAATCGATAATCGATTTTACCAACTCATACGAATACATTGGTACATTTATAGATTAAATTTTTATTATATTTCGTTAAATATAAAATCAACATCAATATAATAGTCTCATATAATTCAATGTTCATTCAATTTAATTTATACTGCTTTTCATTAAATCGTGTATTAACTTCAGATACTTGGATCAACAGAGTAAAATCATCCAGATATCTGGGATTGCCTCTAGGTGTGGGGAGGTCAAAGAGAGATAATTTTCTGCTTGTGAGTGAATGTGTGAAAAAAAAAATAAAAAATTATGAGTTGAAAAAATAAATTCCTAGATGAAACTGAAAGAGAGATCTTGATTTAATCAGTGTTGAGTGCCCCTCCTACATACGTGATGTTCTGTTTTAGAGTTCCTATTTCCATAATTACTCAAATTTGCAGTGATATTGCTATTTTTTGGTGGGAAAAAAATGCAAGGGTGGGGATGTGTTACACTAGCTGAGTGGGGAAGTTGTCTAAGTCTAAGGAGGAGGGGGATTCGGGTTTTAGAGACTTGAGGGCTTTTAATGAGTCTCTATTGGTCAAGCAACTGTGGAGAATTTTAACTTTGCCAAACCTGTTAGTTAGTATAGTATTAAAGGGTAAATATTTCAGGAATAGTAATTTGATGGAGGTGAAAGCCAAGAATAGTGACTCCTGGCTTTGGAAATATTGGCTTAGTGGTTGATAATCTCTAGGGCTAGGAGCTAGGTTTGAAGTTGGGGATGGGTATTCTATTTATGTTTAGTATTCCCCTTGGATCCCAAACACTTTTTCTTTTAAACATAGATGTTGTTTTTTGGAGGATAGATTTAGAATCAATAGGGTGAGTGATCTGATTAAGGAAAGGGGAAGAGAGTGGGATAGTGAGTTGATTCTTCAAACTTTTGATCCTATTGATGTTGCTATAATTATGAAATTTTTTCTCTCTAATTAGAGAAAGAAAGATAGGTTGATTTGGCACTGGAGCAAGAAGGGAGCTTTTTCAACAAAAGCAGCCTATCAAACCATTCTGGAGGCTAAAGCCAGACATACTGTTCAAACCTCTTCTATTCAGACCGGTGCCTAGTGGAAGAAAATGTGGGTTTCAACTTGGCACTTGCCCATAAAGCACAAGGTAAAACATTTTATTTGGAGATGGTGGTTTGGTTACATTGGGTCTAAAGTAAATGAATAGAGGCAAATACAATTTGTCTGGTATGTGGAGAGGAAGTTGAGGATTTAAACCATACATTGTTTCTCTATTCAAAATCTAAATTATGTTGAAAGATGAGTAGTGTGGACTGGAACTTAATGCAAGGCAATCAAATGGACTTTCAAAGGTGGTGGATGGAAACCTGTTCATTAGGTATGTCTGCTGATTTAGAGGAAAGGCTCGGTTTATCTGCATACCTGATGTGGAACCTCTGGAAAGCTAGAAACAAATTGGTTTTCAAATGTGATTGGATACATGAAAGGGAATTAGTTGATGGTGCCAAGTCAGAGTGGTTGTAATGGAGGCCAAGGAAATTAGAAAGAAGATCAGGAGGTAGGGAGTTGCATCCTGGAAAAGAGCCCTATTGAGATGAAGCCTCAGAGAGGGTGGCCATCAGTGCTTATTTCTATGAAGAAAGTGATGTTTCAGTGGATTATGTTGTTGTTCAAGATAGAGTTAACAAACTGCATTGGAAATGAAGCATAACAGGAGCAACTCAAAGAGCTGAATTGAACCTCCTGCGTATGTTACCTAAAGAATGTTGTTGTTGAAAGGATTTGAAGGGAAAGATTTATCTTTCCTGTTCTTTTGCTCCTCTCTTGGAGCATGTTATTTCTCTTTTGGTTGTTTGTAATGTTGAATTTTTTTTAAGTGTTGTAGGGTGTTCGTTTTCTGTTTGATCTTGTTGGTTTTTGAGAGGAAGAAGTTACTCTTTCTCGTGGTTCTTGAGTTTTCTTGGTCTGATCTCTCAAGTATTATGTAATCAGTTGATTACTCGTTGTACTTGTACTGTTTCTTTGAGTTATAAATTTGTTTGTTTTTCATTGGAAAAAAAAATCATAATATTATATTTATAAAGCCATCAAATGTCCACCTAGTTAATCCCCTTCATGTCCTTTACTTGACACGCTAATTCTCCGCCTCCGTTTTAGGACAAAACTCAACCCTTGTTATGAGTTTTTCGACCCTTCAATCAAGTTGGTATTTCACTAAACAAATTATTGTGTGACACACTAGTTCTCCGCCTTTGTTTTAGGACAAAATTCGACCTTTGTTATGAGTTTTTAATTTCGACCCTTCAATCAAGTTGGTATTTTATTATAACAAATTATTGTGTGAGTTTAGACTGGTTGGCTCGTCGTAAGCACATAATTATATTACTAAATGTCATATTTATATTTTTGTTATTTTTTATAGTATGTTGTTTTCTAATGAAATTATGTATACGTATGAGAAAAGTACATCAGTTTAATAGTTAGACCTTACTTACCATCATATTTATATTCACAAATTTTTTATATAAGTCAACTTAAATAATAGACAGAGTCGATCCGATGTGATCAACAATGCATACTTATACCAAATGTTATATTTTTGTCATATTATATTTTAAAATATGAAATTTTTTAATAAAAGTATTCATATTTATATATTACAAAAATGCCACGGTTAGATGTGCGATTTGCCCAGCATAAGATGCACCGATTTATAGTTACTAGTGAGCAACCCGTGCGATGCACGGTGAGGCTTGTTCCTCAAAACCTATTTAAAACTTTATTTTTAAATATAATTACTAAAGTTTAAACATTTTATTTTGGCAAAAAAATAGATACAGAGTATGAAAAATCATATATTGTTGAACAGTTCCCTATACACAATATTTTTTATTTGAATATGTGGCAAACTTTCTTGTCAACAAATTAAAATTTTCAAACAATTGTGTGAAAAAAATTAAATTATAATATATTATTTATAGTGTAAGAAATCGTAATATATTATTTTTAGTGTGATAAAATGTGTTGGGATAACTATGACCATTTGAAAAAATATATAATAGTAATCTTAAAACTTTAATAAATTTAAAAAGATAAATATGACCATTTGAAGAAATATTTATTTGTAATCTTAAAATTTTAAATTTTGATAAATGATTGTATATATGCGCCAAGTTTTTAGGAACCAATTGATCATATAATATAAATTCTTATATGATTTCCAGAGTCTTACGAACGTGACATGAACTTCATTTTTTAATTTCAAATTTAAACAAATCAAAAGACAAATTATTAGGTAGTTATGGAAAAAAGTATCCAACAAACTATTTTTTAATTTTAAATTTAACAAATTAGAAGACAATTATTAGGTAGTTATGAAAATAGTCTCCAACAAACTTCAAATTAAACGACACACAACCATCAGATCTAGAGTTGGTTGCAGTCGGTGATCACCACCCGTCTCGAGGTCCGGTGGCTCCCCGACCCGACATTCTCCACCGCCTTCAATATGTCGTACTCCTCCACCACCTGCCCGAACACCACGTGCTTGTTGTCAAGCCACTTCGTCCTTGTCGTGCAGATGAAAAAGTACGTGTCATTTGTCCCCGGAACAGCCTTCGCCATTGACAGGTCCCGGTGTGCTTTCTCATGATGTTCTCGTCGGTAAACTTGGCGTCGTAGATCGACTTGCCGTCGTTACCCGCAGTGAAGTCACTGATCTAACAAATGATTGGGGATTATACGATGGAAGGATGACCCTTTGTGGTGGAGGGGCTTGCCAGATTTGCCGACGTCCTTCTCGTTGGTGCATAGGGCATAAAAGTTCTCATCGGTCTTCGTGACGACGTCGGCGAAGAGCTCCATCACGATTCAACGGCGGGGCTGCTATTCGTTATGTCGAAGTAAACCCTAGGATTCGATAGGTTGATTTGAATTTTTTATTTAGGAGTTTTTTGTGATTTTTTTTTTATTTGTGACTAACTGATTTTTTTTTTGGTCTCAAACTTAGGGTTTTGTAATTGGGTGGGGAGGGGTTTATATAAGGGATCGATTGAGTGCAAACTTTAAAAAGATGAATTCTTTCTAAACTTTAAGAAGATATTGTAGTTAGATAAATATGGAGAAAAAAGTATTTACCAGGAATTCACATAATATGAGATTCTTTCCAAACTTTAAAAAGATTTTGTAGTTTAATAGATATGGACAAAAAAATATCCATAGATAGAGATTTACCCGGATTTTCAAACCTTTTTTTGTATATATATATAAATATCAATTTGTGCTTTGGGTGGAAATTTACGGTTTTTTTTAATAAATTCATTATTAGTAAAAACGAAAATTTAGGCGGGATTTTACATACTATTCACAGCTAAATGTTTTGCCTTTTTATATATTCATAGATATATATTTAAGTTGTGAATTTTTTAATATTATATGATTATATGGCTAAAAATATGTTAGTTTCAATCAAATAAGTCATATATTATTTCAGTTAAAGAATATAAACCACCAAAAAATAGAAAAGTAGTTAGGATATATGTCATAAAATAATGTAATTTATTATTTTTAAGAATAACAAATCAATATATTTACACACAAAATTCATAAATATAAATAATTTATGGATTAGTATAACATCCATTATTCTCGGAACAACTTTTTGTTTGATTTGCAACATTAATTTGAATGAAAAAAATCCGTAATTGTGGGAATATCTTGATTCAAAATCTCAATTTTTTGGCATAAGAATCTCCAAATTTGTTACCAATAAAAATGAGATTCGTATTGATGAAATGAATTAAAGTTTGGCATAAGAATCTCCAAATTTGTTACCTTAAGAATCTCCAATTTTTATGGGATATCTCATAAAATTTGATTCCTAAAGAAAATAAGTTATTTCAATCAAATAATTCATATATTATTTCAATTAAAGAATATAAACCACCAAAAAATAGAGAGGATGTTAGGATTTAGGTCATAAAATAATGTAATTTATTATTATCTAAGAAAACCAATCAATATATTTACACACAAAATTCATAAATATAAATAATTTATGGAGAATTGGAGTTTATCAATATTTAGTATAATATCCATTATTCTCGGAACAATTTGTTGTTTGATTTGCAACATTAATTTGAATGGAAAAAAAATCCATAATTGTTGGGATATCTCAATCAAAATTTCAATTTTTGCCATAAAAATCTCCAAATTTGTGACCTATAAAAATGAGATTCGTATTTATGAAATGAATTAAATTTGGCATAAAAATCTCCAAATTTGTTACCTTAAGAATCTCAAATTTTTTTGGGATATCTCACTTAAATTAATTTTCTATAGAAAATAAGTTGTTTTAATCAAATAAGTCAAATATTATTTCAATTAAAGAATATAAACCACCAAAAAATAGAAAAGAAGTTAGGATTTAGATCCTATAATAATGTAATTTAGTATTATTTAGGAAAAAAAAATCAATATATTTACACACAAAATTCATAAATATAAATAATTTATAGAGGATTGGAGTTTATCAATATTTAATACAACATCCATTATTCTCGGAACAATATTTTGTTTGATTTGATACATTAATTTGAATGAAAAAAAAATTCGTAATTGTTGTGATATCTCAATTCAAAATTTCAATTTTTTGGCATAAGAATCTCCAAATTTGTTACCAATAAAAATGAGATTCGTATTTTTTAAATGAATTAAATTTTGGCATAAGAATCTCCAAATTTGTTACCTTAATAATCTCCAAATTTGTTACCTTAAGAATCTCCACATTTTTTGGGATATCTCCCTTAAATTTGATTTCTAAAGATTCACATGTGCTTTTTTCAAAATTTCTACTAATAGTAAGTCAACACTTTATTTTTAAAGTCAAAGTTACTATTTTTGTATTTTTCCAACAACCTCTTTATATTACTATAGATAGGCTTGTTGTAGCATAGCCAATTAGTCAACGGAGGGTCTTTGAGCTCAAGACGACGTCGTAGCATGGAGTCACTACACATTATCCCACGAACAAACTCGCTAATTGCTATGAACGACGAGAAACAGCAAAACAAAATGGACCTGAAAATTTCAGAATCAAAACCCTAGTTGTGAAATCCAACTAAATCTTCCCAGAAAAAGAGCGAGGGAAGAGATAGCTTGATATGAAAATGGCGATATCAGCAGATATCAGTGTATCTATAGCTTTGAGTTCACACAAATTCAGTACCCCTCGACCTCGAGCCTCATCTCATTTTCCCCCTTCTAAGGTCTGTTTCTGTTCTTCCACGTTTTTTGGTTTAATTCTCTAAATGCTATGTAGTTTTCATTATTTTCTGTTCATGTGTATGTATTGTGGGCGTGTTTGTGTTTTCTATTGCATTTTATTTTGAGCTGGGCATCGCTGCACCATTTGGTCCCAGAAGAACTGCTTGATTTCGAGGTCATGTGTTTTCATTCTTTTTTTTCTTCTTCTGATTTATCTCATTCATTCATTTTTATTTTTATTTTTTGTGTGTACGATATGATAATTGGTTACTACTTATTTAAATTTATGTTTTCTCCTTTATTGATCTTGCTGATAACTGGATATTGATTACCAGAACACGTGCAATTTTAACTTGGGCACGATTTGCTCATATGCTTCTTTTGATTATATTTTTCTGAATGGCGATTTATGGGTTATGCCCATAAGTTAATAGCGATCCTTGTTCCTTAAAGTTTGGCTACTTTGAATGAATTTTATCTTGTATGTATATGTGTGTCCGTATGTTAGACTGTATGTTAGTTTCCTGCTTTTGATTTGTTTGTTTAATGCACAGCATGGAGAAATGGATGGAATCCACTTTTCTTCTTTAATAGTGTAAACGTGCCACAGTAGTTCATGATTAACATCTCATGAGTCTTGCATGGGATTATCAGGATTTGTATACCGTGTCGCCTTTAAATTCAATGCAAATACTTGGGAATTAGTGACAGTATCTCGAGTTTACTGTTTAGAATTACACATTGTCATAGACATAAAAATTGACTCAAGGAGGCTTATAGTTGGAAACGTGGGATTCTTACAAACAACTTACATGGACTTAAAATTTTGGCAGAATTAGGTTATAATTGGATACATGAGGTTTTGCACGTTTTGTTTGTTATTATTTGCTACGCTTGCATGCTCCAGTAATTATAATTGATCGGCATCAGAACTAGTTGATAACAACAGGCTCCACGAGACTTTTGGTTTCGGCTCATGTTAGTTACTGCAAACACTTCAAATAACCAAGGGCATTGATTTGAGTTATTTTATTGGTTTGTTTAGAACCTCTCTTTTTTCCTTTATTTTCCCCATTCCTAAGAGATATTCATATCTGTCCCTTTACTGTACAGGTGTCCTGCAGCGTGTTCACCAATGGGACACTACCAAAATTCTCTCGTCGTTTACTAAGTTGCGATACCACACGTTGCCACTCTAAAAGGCCTCTTTGGGTTTTCGGAGACTACAAGCTCTCGCAAAATCCCATCAGCCAAGAATTCGAGAATTTTCTACTCAACGCAATCAAATTAAACTTCTTCGAAAGGCTAAACCTGGCATGGAAGATACTATTCCCATCACCCGCCGCCACCAAACGAAATTCCAACGCAAACATCGCCAAACAGCGCCTTAAGATGATCTTATTCTCTGATCGATGTGCTGTTAGCGAAGAGGCCAAACAGAAAATCGTGACCAATGTCGTGAGTGCCTTGTCTGATTTTGTCGAGATCGAGTCTCGGGACAAAGTTCAGTTGAGTGTCTCGACTGATCTTGATCTCGGGACCATTTACTCTGTCACGGTGCCCGTTAGACGTGTGAGGCCGGAGTATCAACTTGATGACGAGGCTGGGTCGATAACGAATATCGAGTATAGGGACAGGGGAGAAACCTCGGGCTCGGTTGATGTGACTTTTGATTTTTATATTCCGAGTGACGAAAAATCGGAGGATTTTAGTGTGTGAAAGGGGAGGTGATGCGTTTTATTTTTCATTTTTTTTCTGCAGGTTAGTGATGTGTTTTGTTCGTTCTTTGGATGATGTCACCACCGAGGAGCAGAATGTATTCTTGTATATAGTTGGGAAAGAACTTTTAAGGATGATTTGATTGTTGAAGTAGCTTTGTCTGATATATTTTTGGATATCGTTTTGAAATCCTACTTGATGGGAAATNACCAAAATTAGGCTCCATCAACGTGTTACTACATTATATTAATCCATAAGTAAATACATTACATTAGATTGTAAAATCCCCCTATATATTAATTGAGAACGTGTTGAGCCTATGTGGCAGGCTCGCATGCTTCGGGATCCTATGTGGCAAAATTACATGCTTCGTTATTACGCTTGGATAGGTTTGGATTATCTATAAATATGTTGATTATTTATGGTAGGGGTGGGCGCGGTCCGGAACGATCTTGGATTTGACTTGTCCGCATACTCATCCCACTTTTATGACGGGATGAGACACTCCCCACCCATGTAATACATGGGTGTTATACTAGTTCTTTTTTATGGTGAAAAAATGAAAACTGATCGTCAATCTATTCTTAGGTGGACTATTCAATTGAAAGTAATTAGTTGGAAAGATTATGGCGTGATTGTATATAATTTGTACAGTAAATATTCCACTCAAAATTCAAATTTAACTCAACTTTAACTCAACAGCACTATCTCCAATATTATTAATATAATTAAATAATATCAACCAATCATTATTACACATCACATCAACTTTAATTCACTATTCACCCACTCACATAATTTTAACTAACCCTCACTTCCAATCATTTTCTCCTACTTTTACATCAAATCAACTTTAATTATTTTAATTTAAATATTATTTTAATATATCCACTAACAACTAACCATATTACTTTTTTTTAAACTTAACTATAGTTAAAAAAAGCTAGTTTTTTACTAGTTGAATTCATATCTAATCACCTCCTTAGTACTTTATGTTCTCTATATGCTGCCTATTGTATGGACTCTGGAAGGTTTTTGTTAAATTATTGAAGTTTATAATGATATAATTAGATTAAGAAATGAGAATATCTGAAAAAAAAAATCCCTTACACATTCAGTGATTTTTTTTTTTTAAGTCCTTTGGTGGTTGATTAATTTACTTTAGATATTATCTTAATCTTGGGCAAATATACAGGTGACATCTTCGTATGGAAATAACTATCACAATTCTGAGCATGTGAATGAGGGGCATTTTGCATTTCAAGCAGTTGAGGCAGGCGATTACATGGCTTGCTTTTTTGCGGCCGATCATAATCCTGCAACGACTTTAACCATCGACTTTGACTGGAAATCGGGTGTTGCTGCAAAAGACTGGACAAATGTTGCGAAAAAAGGTTCTGTTGAAGTAAGTAGCCAAATGCTTATTGTTAGAAGTTATGTTTGTCCCACATTGATTAGTTATTGGGGTGCTATTTATACTTTGAGTTTGTTTGCTTTGTAATTGTTATGGTTATGTGGTTGAAAGATGAAAACTTGTATGGTTAGATTGTGTACGCACGTTGTTTCTGATTTAGTACTTTGATTTCTCTACTTGTTTGTTGTTTAGTTTGACTTGAGTGCTAGAATTTATTTGATGGTTAAAGTGATAGATATTGAAGAAAGGCTGGCAATGTTTAGGCTCTTTTAACCTTTGCTCATAACATGATACTTATCGAAGAAAATGGCTGTCTTGTAGTGGTGAAATATATTCTTATCTATTTCTTATTCAAGGATTAGTGTATGTTTGTTGCCTCAATGGTGAATAACTGCTGTTCAACTTATCTAATCTTTGATATTCTAATTGAGTTTCATTTGCACGTAGTGATTACATCTCTTTCTCTGTTTTTCTTTTGCTTTTGTGATTGAAGCTATTTATGCTAGCCTACTAGGGAGATGAATGTACTTTTGACCTTAATTCAGCTGGATTTAGACTTTAATTTAACTTGTATAATACTATATGCAGTATTGCTTGTTTCCTTTAGCTCCTTCTTTTTATTGCGTATAGTAATACACACGCATAATATGTTCAATACTTGATTTGAAAATTTTCTACTTTGACTGCGTTTGCAGTTAATGGAAATAGAACTGAAGAAAATGTTCGACACAGTACAATCCATTCACGACGAGATGTTTTATCTACGTGAAAGGTAAAGTCCAACTTGAATTTTTGAAATGATTTACCGTGTTATTAATGTTGAACTCCTGAGTTCTCACTTTGGTGAATTTATCTTATTATTTTTGCAGGGAAGAGGAGATGCAGGAACTAAACCGGTCGACTAACTCCAAAATGTTTTGGTTCAGTTTTCTTTCTATTCTTGTTTGCCTTTCGGTTGCTGGGCTTCAGCTATGGCATTTGAAGTCTTTTTTCGAGAAGAAGAAGCTTATTTAGAAATGAAAAAAAAATAAAAAAAATCACTGTTCTGTAATCGATTTCCGGATTTTTCCTATTTAAGTTATATATGTACAATTATCTAGAGAAGAGGTAGATTACAGTTATTGATTCATATGAGAAAGGCATGAATCGAAACTGTAATAGGAACTTCATTTTTCGTTTTAGGGAGTTTAACTGAACCGAGAATGGGAAGACCATCACAAGTGAATTTTAGTGTCTGCAAATGCAAATTTCTGGTGCTGGTCTTCCTTCAGAGCTTATCAACTAATAAATGCTCTTTTAATTTGAATCAATTCCCTGCTTTAATAGATCATATATCACTAACTTTTAATTCTTTAGTTATCATCACTAACTTTGGGCGTTCTCTATGATAAGAGGGTCAACAAAGGCTAAAAGGTAAGTTTTATAGGACGGTGATTCGTCCGGCGATGCATTACGGTGCTGAATGTTGGCCTACAAAGCCTACAAAAAGGCAACATGTCCAACAATTAAGTGTAGCAGAGATGCGTAGGTTGCGTTGGTTCTGCGGGCACACAAGAAGGGATAGAATCCGGAATGAAGATATTCGAGATAGGGTCGGGGTGGCTCCAATTGAGGAAAAATTGGTTCAACATCGGCTGAGGTGGTTCGGACATGTCCAACGAATGCCTCTTGATGCACCGGTGCGTAGTGGAGTTCTTCAGCGGTTCGAAGAAGTAAAGAGAGGTAGAGATCGGCCTAAACTCACTTGGGAAGAGTCGGTTAAGAGAGACCTTAAAGATTGGAATATCTCCAAGGATTTAGCGGTGGATATGAGCGCTTGGAGGCTAGAAACTGTGACTTTTGCTCCTTTTTTTTTTGCTTCAATCTCTTTCTTTTGTTTCAACCCCTTTTTGTGTTTCTTTTACCGATGGTTCTCTTGGGTTTCATCTCTAGCCTACCCCAACTTGCTTGGGACTAAAGGCTATGTTGTTGTTGTTATCATCACATTCATCACACGTTATGAATTTATGATGAGAAAAAAAGGTGGAAATCAACGGATAGTGTGGATGCTACAACATCAAAACACACGTTGCTTTAAAAGTGTAAGCAAAGAAGTGAATTTTTTGAAACACTATGAAGAGAAACATGCTATAACCAATTTATATTCTTCCAGACAATATAGGTATTATCAAGCATATGTCCTAATTTGAGTTATATTTATGTCCTCCTCACGTAAAGGCATAATAGCTATTGTTAACTATATCCTTTTTCAGCATATGTCCCAATTTTCGTGTCACATTTTTTTATTAGATGGCTTACGTTCCGGTTGTTCAACAAAATCAAACTCGAGAAAACAAAATCAACTGAAGCAAGATAACGAGTAATGAAGAAGAAATGCCAATTACCAAACAAAAACTTAAAAAAAATTATCTGCAAATAATCCAAATATGTCCACTCAGGGCATGGCTGCCTCCATAGAGAGTAAACCTATCCCAGCCGACATCAACTTATTTATTAACAATGGAACTAAAAATAAAATACTTAATTATTAACAATAGAACTCCCGAGCAAAGCTTCACTGACTAGGTGGCGGGAAGAAGATCTCTTCCCCCTTCCTCTTCGAGCTGAACTTCTGCTCGACTTCAACCGGAACATTAAAAGCCGCCTGAAGCACCTCCGACGACAGCGCCTTCCACACCGAAGTCCTTCCCGCCAAATGCGTGAAAATCGGGCTGCAAAAACCAGAATTCAATATTTTTTCAACTCTCAAGAACTCAATAAACACAATTATTCATGTGTAGTAATAATTGTAACAAAAAATAAATAAATAAATAAATAAAATCTTTCAACTCACTTAGGAGTAGTTATGATGGAGAACCAGTCCATGCCATCAGGGTCCGCAATCTTCGAGACCACAAAGAACCTGGGCACAATAAACAGATTCCCAGCCTTAATAGTAGTCTCCAAAACCCTCTTCCCATCAACTCCCACGACCTGTACACGCCCACTACCCCTCACAATGTAAGTCACCTGCAGAGCCGAATCACACGAAAAGCCGGGAGAACACATTGCACTGCCATTCAGTTTAACAAGGTCTGCCCCAAGCCCAACTTCCCCAACTAGAGGCAAATTCTTGGTGTTCAAAACAACTACCTTGCCCCCACCTTTGATGTCCACGTCAAGTGGGGCCTCTTCGCAGTTGAGGGCCATGCCGTTATAATGCTCCTTATTGGGCTCGGGGAGCTTTGTGTTTGGGCCGAGCTTGATTATGCCGTGGCCATGCTGGCTGGAGACTAGGGCTTTGGCGGTGGGCTCGTCGACGTCCCAGGCCCGGCTGACAAACTCGGTGGAGAAGCCCGTGAAGATGCCTTTGGGGCCCGTGAGGAAGAAGTCGGTGAAGGAGCCGCGTTTGTGGGCTTTGGAGGTGTCGCCAAGGAAGAGGATGAGTAGCTCGGTGTCTTCCTTGTTGTGGTACCATGTTACGACGCCGAAGGGGAGGGCTATGGCGTCGCCCTTTTTTATTGGGAGCAGCTTTTCTTCTTTCTCTGGTAGGATGATGCCGGCCACTCCACTGCCTGGGAAAATGGATCGGGCAATTTATCGAGCATGATGAGTGCAACATTTTCAGTAGCAGGAAATTTGAATTGCGTGAGTTGTGTTTCGTTATTCATCACTATGAAGTTAGTTAGCAGTAATTGAATTACTTTAATAGCATCACTGATACGAAAGCACGAATTTAGCAGGAGTGAATAGCAATTAAAACGGATGAATTTGAAATTTTCTCGGATTTCCAGTCAACTTTATCTGAAAAACAACTGCATGAACGATTTGTATAACTGTAGACAGACAATCGGAACACATTGCAGCAACAGAAGCACGATAAAGATCTACCATCACTCTTCGATTATAAAAGTAAAAGGAAAAAAAAATCACAATTTAAATTCAGGAACAACACAAAAGGTAAAATGATTCACGATCAAATCCATGTTTTACGTATCGCGATCATGGAAAAATCTAATTATATCGAACTCGAACATAAAAAGGAAAACATGAATCAAATTCGATCAATAGGTAAGCCACGTGCGGATCTGAGATTGGTTACTAGTATACCTTGAAGAACATAAGCAACTTTAGCAGAATCGGAGTATCGAGGGGGCGCGAAGCCGTTTTTCTCGAGGGCGAGCTTAGCGGCGCCGATGTTGCCTTCGCGGAGCATCGGGAGTTCGTTGGGGCACCACGCGTAGTACGCGCCGCCATCTCCGCCGTAGATCTTCTTCGCCAACCTTGGTGTCAAGTCGAGCTCCATCTTTTTAGATCACTTCTCTTTCTCTCTCTAAATCAAACGAAAAGGAAACGCAAACTGAGTGAATGCTGATGAGAATTACGGATGATCCTGTTTGGTATTTATAGGGGAATATGAAAGAAGAGTTTAATTGTACGATTAGTTTGTTAATTGTTGATTAGAACTTATCTTCGAAGAAAACAAAATTATCTTATCCATAATTGTCATTTATTAGTAATTTTCTTTCTCCGAATAATTATTACTAATATTATGGATAATAATATGGATAGATATACACGAGATATTGTAATCTTATGACTTAGGGAAAAAGAAAAAGTTATTTGAAATTGCAATTTGTATGCGTGACTGGATTAAGATTCTACCTCACCGAGATAACTTTTGAGTAATTTGGATAATATACTAGAATTTGTAGCATTCCCTAAAATATAAGAGCGTTTTATGTTTTAGATAATTATCACCATGAGATAGTGCATATTTAGGGGATTAGGATTCTATCTCACCGAGATAACTTTGAGTAATCTATATATATATATATATATATATATATATATAATTAATCCATTAATAAATTTTATTTTATAAATTTTACCTAATAAATTATGCACCTAACTTTCCAAACAATGAATTTGTTAATTAAGACAAAAACCGTTATATTTTATATTAATTGAGTAATAATTATATTTTTTTATAGTGTAATAGTTATTATTAGAATTAGTACTTATATTTTACACTAAATGATATATGAAAGTTAGATAAAACTTCGAAGAAAACAAAAACTAGGACTCTTATTTTATCCATGGTTGTCGAATAAACTAGTATGAGTTCCATTAATATTTATAAATTAATAATTCTTATAAGTAATAATTATAAATTAAAAATACGGAATCAATATTTAATATAATTACCTATACTAATTTATTTAAAATGCTATATAAAGTTCAAATTGTATAAATATTTAAAATTAGTACACAACACGTATGATGCACATAACTGATAATGAATTTCATTATATTTCTTTGAAAAAAGTAACATTTCAAAATTTTTATTTAGAAATTTGATTTAACTATAATGTTATTCCATAAAATAGTTATTTTGGTAAAATGTTATCATATATTTAACAATCTATGTGAATAATAAGTATAAATATAAAATTTATATTGTAATAAGTATATTATATACTAAATTTAAATCATGTAACTAATAAATGTAATAGTTGCAAGTTTTGTCAATATATTATATTTCAAATTTAAATCATGCAACTTATAAAAGTAATAGCCACAATATTTGACCAAAATAATTCTATACATTAATTTAAGCGGAATTTTTTAATTTTTTGCGAAAAATATTACTCAATATAGTAAATACTTTAGGCGGAAAAACCAAATGTTTTTTTTGTTGATTTTTAGTTGCTATTTCAAGTAAATATTATTGCCTCTTTATATATTAATAGATTTTCTTTCTGCGAATAATTAGTGATAGTATTATGGATAATATTATGGATGGATATACACGAGATATTGTAATTGTATGACTTAGGGAAAAAGAAAAGGTTAGTTGAACTTGTAATTTGAATGCGTGATTGGATTAGAATTCTATCTCACCGAGATAAGTTTTGAGTAATCTATATATATATATATATATATATAAAGCGGTTGTTGGAAAAATACATTAATAGAAAGTTTGACCAAATAAATATAATGTTTGACTTACTATTAATAGAAAGTTTAAAAAAACACATGTTAATCTTTAGTAACAAACTTTAAATCTCTATTTTTTTGGTAACAAATTTGGAGATTTTTATGGCAAAATTTGAATCTCATTTTTTTCGTATTATATTTTATTTTTTTACCAAAATTTAAATTATATCGTTTTTTGTAACAAATTTGGAGATTCTTATGCAAAAAATGTGTCAATTATTTATGATAATAATTCTGAATACAAATTAATTTAAAAACCGTACAAATTGGATACAAATTTAGGAAGAAAATAGGTGTATAATTGTTAATCAATTCTTCCAATCTTATTGAATAATTTTTTTCTTTCAAAAAATTTGTGTAAATTGGATAAAGCCACGTGCAAATTTTATTTTTAAATAAAACAGATATTTGGATGGGATGTACATTCAAATTTGTGTTCACATTTTTTGGTAACAAAAACGGTTCATCATTGATATTTAAAGTCACTTTATCCAATTATTTAGGAAAAAATGTGTGCAACTTTTCAAAATTTAAATGCATCGATTTTTTTGTATTCTTATGTTTTTTCTTAATCATGTTTTACCGAGATTTGGGTAAGTTTATATCATTTTTTTTGTTAAGTTCATATAATTTTCTTTAGGAAAGAGACAATTGTATAAACATTAACAATTTATTTCAATTTTTTATTAGAATTATTTTCAAATCAATTTATTTGGTACAAAAATCGGTGCAATGTTAGGAAAATTTAGTTGCATTTTTAGAAAAAAATTGATGATTTTTGTATTGGTTTAAAAAAAATCGGATCAATTTGTTTGATAAAAAATCGGTTTATTGGTAGGAAAAATGTTTTATTTCTAGGAGTAACTAATGATTCTTTTTAATTTTTTTTAATTAAAATCTAGAATTAGATTTAAAATAAATAATGGGTAAAAGTCCTTAAAAATTTTTACTTTTTTTTCTACTTTAATTTTGTTTAATAAATAAGATCCTTTAATTTTTTTAAAATTTGTTAACTAATAACTAATAATATGCAATTTTGGATAAATTTGAAAATACCTATGTAGTACTTTACGTACCAAAGAATCAAATCAATAATGTTGTACATAAGGAAGTGTTTAATAACATACAAAGTTCATTTTCATGAAATTTTTAATGGCATGAGACAATTTAAATATAAAATATATTTAAAAAAAATAAATAGGTAATAAATGTTCCCGTGCATTGCACTGGTACTGTACTAGTTTGGATAATATACCAGAATTATTAAATCATTTAGACAAAAATATTATAAAATAAAAGAGCGTTTTATGTTTTAGATAATTATCACCATGAGATAGTGCATATTTGACTGTGCCTTGTGTTAATAGATTTGACTAATAAATTATAATCTATCTATATATATCCATATAAAAGGAAGGATTGTGTTTACTTAAAATAATATATTTTTTATTAAAAATATTTTTTACTAATTGTACTGTAATTACGATTAGTTTGTTAGTTGTTGATTAGAATTTATCTTGGAAGAAAACAAAAATTATAGGACTCTTGTCTTATCCATGATTGTCATTTATTAGTAATTTTCTTTCTGCGAATAATTAGTAATAATATTATGGATAATATTATGGATAGATATACACGAAATATTGTGTAGATATACACGAGATATTGTGATCTTATGACTTAGGGAAAACGAAAAGTTACTTGAAATTGCAATTTGTATGCGTGATTGGATTAAGCTTCAATCTCACCGAGATAACTTTAGAGTAATTTGGATAATATACTAGAATTTTAAATCATTTAGACAACAATATATTATTTAAAATAAAAGAGCGTTTTATGTTTTAGATAATTATCACCATGAGATAGTGGCATAGTGCATATTTAGGGGATTAGGATTCTATCTCACCGATATAACTTTGAGTAATCTATATATATAATTGATAGCAATTCATTAATAAATTTTGCCTCATAAATTTTATCTAATAAACTATATTTTCCTGGCACCTAACTTTCCAAAAAATGAATTTGTTAATTAAGACAAAAACTGTTATATTTTATATTAATTGAGTAATAACTACTATTATATCATGTAATCTATATATATATAAAAAGAATTAATATTTTTTAAAAATATCAAGTCAAATCCGGTCATCATTAATTTACCTACCATTCTTAGTAACTTTTTACTTTTTTTTCCCAAAAAAACGAGTAACATTAAATGCTACCCTTAAACTATGGCATTTGTTACCTTTAAATTTGATACTTTCTAAAAAATATGGTAAGTGCAAGATAGAACTGAGATCGTATTTGGCTTCTTCATTAATTCATTAACGCTGGCATTAGATGGGCTCACCATTAAGCACAGCAGAAATCTTAATAAAGTAAAAAACGAATCTTTATTTAGGGAGGAGTAAACGTGCAAGTGAAATTTTTAGCAAGGGCTATTTATTTATATTAGAAAGGGGCTTAAGAAATTGGGTTGATTTTTCTGTTGGAGAGCAATTAACCGAATAGATGTCAAGAAAAGGTGGCCTCCATATGTATATCTTTTAGGAGCAGAATTAGTATAAGATGCTCTGCTTAAATCTTGATGATGGTGATTTATACTTTGAAGTGTGAATTGGTGTCATGCTGATAAATATGGGACTTGGTAAAGTTTTTTTTTTAATTTTTTTTAATTACTATCTTTTTATTTATTAATACACTTCATTTATTCTATATCCTAAAAAATATACAACCCGTGCATCGCACGGGGTTATGTACTAGCAGTTATTATTAGAATTAATAATTATATTTTTACACTAAATGATATATGAAGTTACATAAACATAAAAAATTATATTGTAAAACTTTTTGTTTAAGTTATTTATTCTAAGATCAATATTATATTTTTTTGCTTAATTAAGCGATTGTTTTTTAAATGAGCTAATTTGTTTAAATGTCATAGTAAAATTTCTTAAAATCTCATAAGCAATTGTTATATTAAATTTAATATTTTTTAACAAATTAATTGGTCATGATCTCTCAAAATTAAAATATTACATTACTTATTAAAATTTATGCAATCAAATAGTTGCGTACTATTTTCTTTTTAAGAAAAGAAATGAGCGGGGATAGGATACTCCTAGCTGGGCTCAAAGAAAAATAAAGAAAACAGAAGAGATTAAAAAAGGGAGCGAGACCAGAACATACTCATAAGTCGGTCTTGGAGAAGGTCGAAGAGAAGTATCAAGAAACCGTCAAGAAAGCTCATTGGAAAATAGCTGAAGGTAGATTTCTTGCAGAAGAAGTTTGAATGTATGGAAAGAGTTAGGTTTCTAAAGGGTGCAATGGAGGCTTTTATAAGCCAGAAAAAGTAATAACCTGCCAAATCTGACCATTGGAAAGTAACTAATTCAAGAATCTCTGAAAGTGGGCCGAAATCTGGTACAGTGCGCCCACGTGTACAGTGTACATGTCGAAAATTGAGATTGGAATAAGTGAAGGCGTTTTTGGCGTATCTCATTCTCCCAGGCTGTCTGATCGTGTATTAAATGTAAAAGCAGGTCAGATGCAGAGGCTAAGTAAATATTTACATTTCAGCACAAGTCCTGGTAGCTTATCCTCAAACGGGGGGAGAGGAGGGGGTGCTAGATAATGTAGCACTCTGAATAGCTCGACAGACTGACATGAACAGTCATCTCGGATAGGTCAATCCAG